AAGCAGCAGGCTTCCATTCGAGGAGACCATTTTTCCTCATCTACTTCTCACATTGCACAATCACGTATATCCGCATCAACCCATCATATCTCCGTAAATAGCTCTTAAACCCCTTAGATTATTGTCCCTAGAGCAACTGAATATATGAGTGGTACAGCTGATTTTTTTCTTCTTCTATATCCCTTTTTCTAGTCATGAATCAATTAACATAACAGGTGGTTCTCTTATTCCAATCAAGGGAAAGGGAACTATACCTATTACTCTTATTAACTTGTCCTCCACCTTGCATGTTCCCAATCTTTCTAGTAACCTCCTATTAGTTAGTAATCTCACAAAGACCCTAAAATGCAGTATAACCTTTTTCTCTATTCATTGTGTATTCTACTACTTGACGGTGAGGAAGACATTTGGGAATGGTCGTGCAAATGGAGGGTTGCACTTTTTAGAGACTCTTGATCGCACCTTAACTGTAGCAGCCACATCTTCAATTGTTAATAATTGTAAAGAAAGGGTGCATTTGTGGCACACCCGACTTGGTCATGCATCGTCTTTACTTTGCATTCTTTATTTCCCAAAAATGTTTGAGTGTTTGGATCAAGTTCAACTGCAATGTGAAATTTATGAGTTGTCAAAATATTGTAGAACTTCATTTCCTATTAGTAGTAATAAAAATAGTAATGTTCCTTTCTCTCTTATACACACTAATGAGTGGGTTCCTGCGCACCAGTTTCATTTGTGTTTGGATTTCATTTCTTTGTTACATTTGTAGATGATTCTTCTAGATTTACAATTGTCTATCTCATTAAACACAAAGATGAAGTTGCTAATCTATTTCAAGTCTATCACAAAATGATTAAAACTCAATATGATGCACAAACTAAAGTCTTGCGATCACACAATGGGGGTGAGTATGTTTCAAGCCAACTTAGATATTTTCTTGATCAAGGGATTGAGTTCCAAACAACACGTCCATGCACACCTCAACCAAATGGTATAGCTAAGAGAAAAAAATAGATACTTGTTGGAAGTCACCCGATCTTTTACTAGGAATAAAGGTTCCAAAAAAATTTCTAGTCCTGTGTAGTTCTCACTACTGCCTTTTAAATGAATAGCATGCCTTCTTGTGTTCTTGAGGGAAAATCTCCCACTGAAATTGTTCATCGTAAGCAGTGTTTCAAAAAGCGCTAGGCGGGGCCTAGGCGACTGGGGAGGTCCAGGCCGCCCAAGGCGGGTGCCCAAGGCGTGCCCAAAACCTGGGCGGCCCAATAGAAAGAAAAAAATTGTAGGGTTTTTCTCTCTCTAAAATAGGCTCTAATGGGTTTTAGGTTTCAATGAACCTACAACCAACAATTTTGCCCCTTTAGTATTAAAAAAATGATAAAAAAATGCCCTCAACGAGGGGAATTTCCGCCCTTGGGCTGGGCACAGGCCTTGAGCGGCCACCTAGGTGAGTTCAGGCAGCTGCCTAGGCAGATTCCCGGATGCCTAGGGATATCCACCTAATTTGGCTGCCTAGGCCGGGGCATTTCTGAACTGCCTAGTGGCCGCCCAGGAGCTGGGCAATCTGCTTTTTAAATCACCAATCCTAATTCACCCATGTTCCTTATACCTCCCAACGTGTTTGGTTGTGTGTTTGTCCATATCCTTGGTCCAAAGAGGGACAAGCTTGACACCAAAGCGGCCAAATGTATTTTTATGGGGTATCCATCTCAGGGTACAAGTGTTTATAATCTTATTACCAAGGTCCACCATGTGTCCATGGAAGTCATTTTCTTTGAATATGTTTCATACATTTCCATTACAGGTCATGAGTGCTCTCTTCAGGGGGAGAATAAAATACAGTTTAGTGACGAGGGCACATTAATTGTTCCCCTTCATATTTCCACACTATGTTTATCTTAAGAGAAGTGGTTTATCTAATGGCTTATCTAAAAGAAATGGTGCACATTTAGAGGAGTTGAAGATGTATACCAGGAGAAAGAAAATGGTACAACTTGAAGTTCTACGAGACCATACCTCAAATGCTAACCCAGAATCAAGAACTGTTCTTGACCCAGTAATTCTTTCACCCTCTCAGAGAATTCTAATTCGGAATTAACTAGTGCTATTCGCAAGGGTACATGTTCTTGCAATCAGCATCCAATGAGAACGTCATTTATCCACAATTTTGTGTTTACCTGTCCTCATGCCTTCATATCTGCTCTATCCTCTGTTAGAATACCTTCCAATGTTGTAGAAGCACTTTCACAACCTCAATGGAAAGCTACCATGGTTGACGATATGCGAGTATTTGAGCAGAATAATAGATGGAAAATCACCAACCTTCCTAAAGGGAAGAAGGTCATAGGATGTTGATAGATATTCATTGTAAAATATAAAGCTGATGGTACCATTGAAAGGTGTAAAGAAAGATTGGTTGCAAAAGGTTTCCCCCAGACTCCCAGAATAGACTACTTAGATAATTTTACGCATGTGGTCAAGTTGAACACTGAGGATCATTCTTTCACTAGCTGAGAATAAATCACAGCTACTCCATTAGCTAGATGTTAAGAATGCATTCTTACATGGAGACATCCAAGAAAAAATCTATATGGTCATGCCTGTTTTCAAATTAAAGGGGAGACAAGAAAGGTTTGCAAGTTAAAAAAGGCAATATATGGACTTAAACAATCTCTTCAAGTATGGTTTAAAAAATTCAATAAGATGCACGACTAAAAATTGGGTTCACAACGAGTCAAGTTGATCATACACTAGTCGTGTGAAAAAGAATACCAAGGTTTCAAAAGACGATCCGCCTGGCGCTTGGGCACTTGGTATTCACAAAACGGTCCGCCCAGTCCCTAGGCACCTAAGAGACCTCGAGCTGCATGCCTAGAACTAGGCGCCACATTTTGGGCGGCTGTACCTGGGAGGGCACTTAGGGTCGTGGGCCTTTCTTTAATTTTTAAAGATGCCCAAAAGAAAAGGGGGTAATTTTGACCCCCAAAAAAGTTTAAATAGATTATAGGGGTTATTTTCGACCCCTCAAAATTAAAAGAACACTTCCACAAGCCCTAAAACTCTTAGCTATACTTATTTGTGAGAATCAAAAGTACTTTTTGTGGTTTGAAAAAGCATCCTGAACTTTTCTTTTCTCATTGGAATTATTTTTAGGGTACTATTGGAGGTTGGAGAGTTGGAGTCCATGTTATTATGGAACATGGAGAGTTGGAGACAATTACTAATGGGAAAGTATATAATTAGACCATTTACCTTTGGTACAAGGTGGTCACAATTAATCTTCACCATTAGATGTGAAATTAGGTGGCTGTATTTATTTCATTGACCAAGCTCAAAGTTTAAAAAAAATTTCTCATACTTTGTGACACACCCAAGCTATCAGATTTCACATCGGATGATTGTTAGTAATTGTGACCTCCCTGTACCAAAGGTAAATGGTGTCATTGTATACAATCCCATTACTAACACATAGACTAGACTTTTAACTTTTTTAAAATTTTATGTGATTTGAATTTTGAAATTTGAACAACTTTATTTTTAACATGCAATATGTTTGTATTGAAAAAGTATGTTACAATACATACAAATGCAATAAATTATGGAATTGACACAAATATATATATATGTATATATGCGCATTTAGACAAAAAATATATGAACATATCTAAAGAATTTGCACTACAGGGCGCCTAAGATTCTGAGCATCAGGCCGGACCCCTAGGGTTTTTCGAAACCTTGAAGAATACTGTTGGAATTATTGCCCTAATAGTGTATGTTGATGAAATTGTTGTGACAGGGGATAACGCAACGAGTAAGGTGTCTGCTATTAAAGATTGAAGAACCCTTAAGTATTTTTTGGGCATTGAAGCGGCGAAATTAAAGAAAGGGATAGTCTCAGAGAAAAAATGTGTTCGACTTGTTACAACAAACGAGGATGTTGCGATCCAAACTTATGAATACTCCAATAAAAGTCAATCATAAACTTTATGGAGAAAGGGGAGAGTTACTCCAAGATCCTAATCAGTAACAATGAATATTGGGCAAGCTTATATACCTCATAATCACTTGACAAGACATCTCTTATGCGGTTAGCATGGTCAGCTAATTTATGCATGCACCATGCAAAACCACACCTTGATTCAATGTATAGAACATTAACATATGTCAAGTCTGCACCAAGGAAGGGATATTTTTCTCTAATCAAGGACATCTTGATGCTACAATTTGCACAAATGTTTACGGCTAAATTGATAGAAGATCCACAACTAGCATTGTACCTTCGTTTTGGAAAACTTGGTTACTTGAAAAAGTAAGAAATAAAATGTCATAGCAAGATCAAGTGCTGAAGCAGAATACAGAGGGCAATGGCTCATGGTACATGCGAAGTAATGCGGATCAAAAGTGTTATTTTTTATTTGGGGTTTAAAGTTAAGATTCCCATAACTTTATTTTGTAACAATGAAGCAATCATTCACATCGCAAAAAATCGTTTTTTTCATGAAAGGTAAACACATTAAAGGAGATTGTCAGTTCATCAGAGAGAAGATGGCTGCCAAGATCATTTAGTCTCCTCATACAAATTCTAAAGATCAACTACTAAATATCTTTACCAAAGACGTTAGATGGGACAAATTACATGATATCACAAGCACTCTAGTCATGATTGATATCTGTGCACCAGCTTAAGACGGAGTGTGAAAATAAAAGGAATAGGGTTTATTGTATTTGATGGGAAGAACTATCATTTATCTTTTGTTTAGTCCTTATTGGTCTTATTTCGCTAAATAAGGGCAGTATTGTTCGTAAGTTGTAATTAGATTATTGCTGAATATTAATAAGAGGGGTAGAGATCATGACACCTCCACCCCACTCTCTTTCGCTCTCTATCTCTCTCTCCTTTCTTCTTCTTCATCTTTATTTTCTTTCCTCTCTTTCTCTCTCTAGGTACTACCCAACTGTTTTCTTCTCTAACTCAATCTCAACTCAATGTTTCCCACTCGGAGCCATTACTTGCCCCTTTTCTTCTCACAACCCATGGTTGACTTGCCCTCGGAGTCAGTCTACCATTGTTCAGACTAGCAGCTTTTCTATCACCTTAACATGAGAAACAGATATCCCATGCATGTACACTGAGTTAGAGTTCCCTTCAACCCCAATTATTGCAGAGCTTGAGACGCCCTAAAACCTAGAAGAGACTCTCACCAATCATTGCAAAAGCAAGTTTCTTCAAAATAATATATCTCAGCCCTTTTTTCCTTTGATGAAGATTTATCAACCCATTATACACCTCAACAAAACATTGCAGGAGAAAAAATAAACACACAAATAGGAAACCACTCACGCATCTTTGTTCCTCGAAATCATAGGAACTTATATAATTGTTTACTACAAGAGAGTTATGTTCCTTTATATGGGTTAAAGGAACTTTAAGAGACAATTGTTCCAACCAAGAGAAAACACATGCATATACTCATTAGTTTCCAAGTTTTAGTGATGCTTTTGAGAACCAAAGGCCATAGAGAGCACAAACCATAAAGCCTATGCATTTTCTTCTTCCAAAAGACTATCTTCATATATGCATCTTCATTGTCCCTTTTCTTCTTCTGCAGAATGACTTACTTCAATTCTAAATTACATTTCTGAGTTGTACCAATTTCATATCATCAAATTATATATACCACACTCAGGCAATGATGTTAAACATTTCTTCTTCTTTTTTTACCATAATTATCTTTCCAATTTTGGATCACACTCGTAGCATGATACCCTAATTTAGCAGCGACTTTTCTATCAAAATTAACAGGGCCAGATATCAACACACTGACCGGTTCTTGGAGTCCAATTTCCTGAATACTTTCCATGAGATCCTTCACTTTTACAGGGTCATTGGCACGCGTCCTCGACAGAGGTCTACGTATCTTCTCCAGTGGAATTTCAAGTATCAGAGGACCTCCAGACTTGGTATTTTGATATGGCGCTCCTACATACATATTCCCCAAACATATAAGACACACACCACATTTTAACACCCAAAAGTAAAAAGCAAAACCCAAATGAGTGAATTGGTATCCGCACAATCAAACCCATTGCAGCTAGTGAGAGAGAGAGAGAGAGAGACCGTTTTGAGTGTAGTTGATGGCCCTGAGTGAGAAGTTTGTCTTGGGGGCAAGCTGCAGGGAAAGTTGGAGAGAGAGATAGGCCATGCTTTCCTCTCCCGCTCCTGGACCAAATTCTTCCTCTCGGGCTTACTCAAACGTCGACTTACACATAAGCGATTCTAGGAAGATGAATTTCAAAAGGAGAAAGTTTATATAAGTCCGAGGCTCTAAACAATCAAATTAGAGCGCACCTCAAAATTTTCACAAGAAAATTTCATTAGAATATTTGCTTTGATGCTCAAATTGATCATCTCGACCTCACAATGCATGAACATGAGAAAACAAATCGATTTCAAGTTTTGGAAATAATGCATCTTGTAAATTTTCTAGATTTGTTCAACCTACTTACTTTTTAAGGTTGAAATTTTTTAATTAAATATAAAAATATATTTTAAGATTATCACAAAGATTTCTAGTATTGAAACCGTATTTTTCGACACTATTTGTTTGTGAGTGTGCTACTTTGATTGTTTAGAGCCTCGGCTCTATACATACCACACTCATTTCAAAATATTAAAGTATACTAATGTTATATTTCCTTGTAATCTATTGTCATGTAATAGAATTTCAGATACTGGCCCCTTAAAAACACGTATTTCTTGAGTTTGCCGAGTCACATATAAATGTGCAGGGCGCTTTAAAATTCCATTTTAAAGATGGACTTTAGATCCAAAATTTTTAGATTTGTTGATGTTAATTATTGCGGTGATTTTGTATATAGAAATGTATTTTTGAAAACTAAAAATCTATTTTTAATATGTTTTCCATCATCTATTTTGATGTATATTAAAAGCACCTCTTTTTTTACATCCATCTCTAATATGGACTTTAATTAATAGATGCACATATTGTCGAAAGTGCTTTTCGGAAGTGAGGCACTTTATTTTGTAAAAATTACAAAAAACCCCCCAAAACATATTATTTACATAACTTACACCCAGCTAACTTTTCCTCTCATTTTTTTCCCCACAACAACTTTTTCTCGCAAAACCCCTTCAAAAAGTTATTATTTTTTGGACGAAAATGCCCTTCTCATACAAAAAAATTCAACTGATAGTCTCAAGTTACGTATTGTTAGAGCGTAGAATAACACTGCCAAAGTGCTTTGTAATGATTGCCGGATCGAAATAGGTACTGCCGGAGCGTTGTGGCTCCAGAAGGTGCACCGCAGGAGCGCCTTCATCTATTGTCGGAGCGTTGTGGCTCCAGCGACCCTACCACCAGAGCCTATTCATAGAGTGTCGGAGCGAAATGTCTCCAAAAGGTGTACTATCGGAGCGAGATGACGTAATGCGAGAGCAAATTCATCTACTGTCGGAGCGAAGTACCACTCTACCGGAGCGCTGTGGCTCCAAAAGGTGTACTGTCAGAGCGAATGTCTGTATTACCGGAGGGCATTTTTGTACCACCAGAGCGATGTAATCAACCGCCGGAGTGCCCTGCTTCCATAAAGTCTACTGCCGGAGCATGTTTTCGTATCGCCGAAACACGGTGTCTTCATTGCCGAAAAGATAGAGAGAAAATGAGTATGAAAAAAGGTATTTTAGACTTTGTTTTAGTTCTTTTTGGGTTGGGGGAGTGTTTATGAAGATAAGTTTTTAATGGAAAAAAAATGAGAGTATAAAATTGGATGGGGTAAATTGAATAAATAATATATATTGAGGGATTTTTGTAATTTTTCTTTACGTTTTCACTTACGTCTATATCTTATATAATCTTTTTAATATATATATTTTTCATATATATATATATA